CAAAGCGAGTGCGTGTAACGCCCGCTTGTTTGTCGTTGTTCGTTTTGTACCTCGCGCGCGGCGTGACCACTCCGTCGTTGCTGATTACGCAACGCGTGGCCATGAGAGCGCCCCGCGTTTGCGAGAATGCAGCCACACGCGCGCGCGCTTGCTCGCTCGTATCGTCGCGCAGGATTGGTGGGATTATCGATATCTCGCGATGTGTTTACAACAACAAATCAGAATGCGCAAGCTTCTAAACGTCCAGGCTCTCCCAGTCTCGGCTATCATCGAATTTAATAGAGCTACTGATTCCGTCACTCGATATGAAAATAATTATTATGTGCGGCATCGAATTTTTAGCTTACTCGTTACGTAGACGCGTTACGTAATGTCTCTCCTTCAGCCGTCTTGTTGCTATACGAGGACTTTTTTTTTTTCTTCTACCGTCGGTGTTTATCCGGAATGATATAGATAGGGTTGCAAGACGTAACAACTCGACGGGACTAGTTGAGAATCGCTGATCTAACGCGACGTGCAGGTTCACTATGAGCGCGTACATGCGCACGCGTGTAGGCGTGTATGGCGCGCCATGACTTGTAGGATGAGTGTGCAAAGGCGTATGTCTCGTCTAGAAATTAATGTACAGCCAATATTAGGCGGCGCGAACAGACCGTTTCGTCATATGATATAAATGAGTATACAGGTGTCGATAATAACAAATACGAGAAAACGAAGAAGGATAAAAACGTGGAGAGATAGACTTGATAATTATTAGCATTATTAAATCTGATAGTTAATATCATTTTCGAGATAATTACTCTTGCGAGGATAACCTTTCTTATTATTTAATCAAGCTCGCGGAAAAATGAATTAATCGAGCAGCAACCGTGAGATTGCAGCGTGTAAGCAGTAATATATCTATTATAGTGTGATTTTTATTTAATGCCATTTCAACACGCGCACTGAAGAGATATTTCGTTAAAGTCTTTCGCGATTGAATTACAAACGCGCCAGGAGGATAATAATCTTAAAATTAATTTATAAGTATATATTCTACGAGATTATACAATGATTTTATTTTTATTTTAATTAACATTGTACAATATATATTTTGTTTTATAATCCCTTTCGACATATTTCTGCGATTATAATGTTTGTGCTGGCTCGAATGAAGCAATATCGAATTAATCTCGCGGCGTCATCGAATTCATATACTTTGGGTCTTCTTTGCACACGCACACACACACACACACACACACACACACACACACACACACACACACACACACACACGCGCGCGCGCGTTCCTGTAGCCATAAAAAAGAAAAAAAAATTAAGGAAAGAGCAGAACAGAAAAGAAGAGGAGAGAGAAACCGGCAGGGTATCACGCGAGTATCGGCGCGACTAAGTAAATACGAGAGCGAGAAAGCATCCGACATCGGGTGCCGGTTTTTATCCGTGCGCTTTGCGTTTCGGGGAACGCAGTTGTGTACACTGTCATGATCTTCATTTATATCTGCCGACGAGTCTTTCTTTCGTCAGGTACCTTCTTCTCGCGGAAATCGAGACACCGATACTCCAATAGCGCCGGTTGCGCCGATAAAAGAGATAATGACGTTTTTTTTTCGTGGAGAGCGTGATCGGTATATCTTGAACGTTTAATTCACACGTCGATGTTTTGGGAAGCAGCACGGTTTAATGTGCCTACCGTTTATAATATTGATAATTAAAATGTACAATAATAGGTTCATTTAAGATGGTCTCAAAGAGATTTGATCCGAGCTATAGGTACTCTATAAGGGTAGAGTTTTTCTCCACGAGATGAAAAATTTTTGATTAGCTCGTCATTTTTGTCAATTTTAAATGTGAAAGGAGCAATAAGAAATCTTTTAAGTTAAATAACATTTTATTTTTAATGTCAAAATGTAAATCAATTTATTTCTGTGGTTAATTTCAAAGTAAACCACGTCTATATTAATGTATGCATTTGATAAATAATAAATTAAATTGGAATCAAATTTAATATTTTCTTGAGTAAAATTGTTTTAACTTCATTATTATAGTTATCAAATTCATTATTAACGACATGTTAGGTAGGAACGGTGGCAACGTATAGAAATAATTATAGTATAAGTATTTCAAATTGTGTAGTTGTAGTAAATTAAAATGAGTAAGGAGATAGTACAAGTTGGAATGAGATAGCATATGTAAAAAGAGACAGTACGTATACTTTTTTTTCTTTCTCTCTTGTTTTGACAAAATTACTCGTGGCTAGACTCTATAATAGTCTTAGTAGTTTTTAGTTAAAGTCCCAGTTCGACTTTATAACTTATAGAATTTGAGCGTGGAATTTAGTTATATTAACTTCCAGGTTCATTCATTGATCGATGCTCATGGGGTTTATTTCTGTCTCTATATTTCCCTGACAAAGCCAGGTTTCGGATAACACGAAAGTCAATTAATCGCACGAATGGACAATGCAGAAATAACGGAGAAAATGGCTCTAGTCTCGTGGATAATTTGGATGGTAGAAATTTCAGAAATCAATTCCAACAATTATAAAATAAAAGCGATAACAATTCTAATAAGTGTAAATAATAATTTTTCTAATAAACTGTATTAATGTTACTACAAAATATTTCGACAACATTTGAAAGAAAGATTGAGAGATTGTCCCGATCTATTAAATATCACGAGCAGAATTCCACTTTTTTATCGCGAGATCCGCATTGCGTGCTGTGCATTAATTACGTGCACTGCGTTTCTTTCTAAAATCATCACTGCATGCAGGCGTTTTCGAATTACCATTAATTCGATATTGAGAATTCCCCGGCTGTTTATATCTGGCTGTTGCCAGATTTGTAGATGACCCGTGATTCGCAAGGACGATGCGATCGTTACGCGTTCGGCCGCGTAATCCGATCTCTCTCACCGCGGACGTTTCCCGTTTTTGCGAGTTAATTGATATCCCTTGGATACCGTAATATAATTCGATGCCGTTCCACCGGGTAGAGTCGCCAATCGTTGAAGATCGATCTCTCGTCTCATTCTCTCTCGGTCGCTGCACCGCCTCGCCTCTCTCGTCTCGCCATGGTGTCGACTGCCATTCACCGTGAAAACCGTACGTACACTTGCGCTCTGGTCACCAACAAGGTCGCACAAGGTCGCACAACCATCCTGCATCCATACGCCATATGCAGCGGTGTGCACGCGTGCATACGTGCATACGTGCATACGTGCGATGCAGGTGGACGATATCGGCACGCGGGTCGCGTCGGATCTCTCTCAGGAAATAGGAATCTGAAATTGCATTAACATTACAACGACTATACGATTCTCAGATCCGATTTCACCAATGTAAAATTAACTGTAATCTCGATTCAATTTACTCTTTATCATTTTCTAATTTTCAGAATTTATCCCCGTTTCTACCAATGTATATTCACTTTAATCTCAATTCTTTTCTTTCTTTCTTTT